CACCATGATGGGGCAACTATTTGTCCCATGACACAAATGATGGGCACTTTTCCTCCACTGACACCATTGCATGGGGCATATTCCTCCCAGTGACACCAATGATGCAGCACTATTCTTCCACTGACACCAATGGACGGGGCACTATTCCTCCCACTGATACCCAATGACGGGGCACTATTCCTCCCACTGACACCAATGATGGGGCACTATTCCTCCCACTGACACCATGATGGGGCACTATTCCCCCCACTGATACCAATGATGGGGCACTATTCCTCCCACTGACACCAATGATGGGACACTATCCTCCCACTGACACCAATGATGGGGCACTATTCCTCCCACTGACACCACATGATGGGGCACTATTCCTCCCCCTGACACCAATGATGAGGGCCACTATTCTTCCCACTGAACGGGTCACTATTCCTCCCACTGATACCAATGACGGGGCACTATTCCTCCCACTGACACCAATGACGGGGCACTATTCTTCCTACTGGACACCAATGATGGGGCACTATTCCTCCCACTGACATTAATGATGGGGCACTATTCCTCCCACTGACACCAATGATGGGGCACTATTCCCTCCCACTGACACCAATGATGGGGGCACTATTCCTCCCACTCCCTGACACCAATGATGGGGCACTATTCCTCCCACTGACACCAATGATGGGGCATATTTGTCCCACTGACACCAATGATGGGGCACTATTCCTCCCACTGACACCAATGATGGGGCACTATTCCTCCCAGTGACACCAATGATGCAGCACTATTCTTCCCACTGACACCAAATGACGGGGCACTATTCCTCCCACTGATACCAATGACGGGGCACTATTCCTCCCACTGACACCAATGGATGGGGCACTATTCCTTCCTACTGACATCCAATGATGGGGCACTATTCCTCCCACTGACACCAATGATGGGGCACTAATTCCTCCCACTGACACCAATGATTGGGCACTATTCCCCCCACTGATACCAATGATGGGGCACTATTCCTCCCACTGACACCAATGACGGGCACTATTCCTCCCACTGACACCAATGATGGGGCACTATTCCTCCCACTGACACCAATGATGGGGCACTATTCCTCCCCTGACACCAATGATGGGCACTATTCTTCCCACTGACGGGGCACTATTCCTCCCACTGATACCAATGACGGGGCACTATTCCTCCCACTGACCACCAATGACGGGGCACTATTCTTCCTACTGACACCAATGATGGGGCACTATTCCTCCCACTGACACCAATGATGGGGCACTATTCCTCCCACTGACACCAATGATGGGGCACTATTCCTCCCACTGACACCAATGACGGGGCACTATTCCTCCCACTGACACCAATGATGGGCACTATTCCTCCCACTGATACCAATGATGGGGCACTATTCCTCCCACTGACACCAATGATGGGGCACTATTCTTCCCACTGACACCAATGATGGGGCACTATTCCTCCCACTGACACCAATGATGGGGCACTATTCCTCCCACTGACACCAATGATGGGGCACTATTCCTCCCACTGACACCAATGACGGGGCACTATTCCTCCCACTGACACCAATGATGGGGCACACTAACACCAATGATGGGGCACTATTCCTCCCACTTGCACCAATGATGGGGCACTATTCCTCCCACTAACACCAATGATGGGGCACTATTCCTCCCACTGGCACAATGATGGGGCACTATTCCTCCCACTGGCACCAATGATGGGGCACTATTCCTCCCACTGACGACCAATGATGGGGCGCTATTCCTCCCACTGATACCAATGATGGGGCACTATTCCTCCCACTAACACCAATGATGGGGCACCCTATTCCTCCCACTGGCACCAATGATGGGGCACTATTCCTCCCACTTACTGACACCAATGATGGGGCACTATTCCTCCCACTGGCACCAATGATGGGGCACTATTCCTCCCACTTACTGACACCAATGATGGGGCACTATTCCTCCCACTGACACCAATGATGGGGCACTATTCCTCCCACTGACACCAATGACGGGCACTATTCCTCCCAATGACACCAATGATGGGGCACACACTAACACCAATGATGGGGCACTATTCCTCCCCACTTGCACCAATGATGGGGCACTATTCCTCCCACTAACACCAATGATGGGGCACTATTCCTCCACTGGCACCAATGATGGGGCACTATTCCTCCCACTGATACCAATGAACGGGGCACTATTCCTCCCACTGACACAATGATGGGGCACTATTCCTCCCACTGACACCAATGATGGGGCACTATTCCTCCCACTGGCACCAATGAGGGCACTATTCCTCCCACTGACACCAATGATGGGGCACTAATTTCCTCCCACACTGGCACCAATGATGGGGCACTATTCCTCCCACTGACACCAATGACGGGGCACTATTCCTCCCACTGACACCAATGATGGGGCACTATTCCTCCCACTGACACCAATGATGGGGCACTATTCCTCCCACTGGCACCAATGATGGGGCACTATTCCTCCCACTGACACAATGATGGGGCACTATATTCCTCCCACTGGCACCAATGATGGGGGCACTATTCCTCCCACTGACACCAATGATGGGGCACTATTCCTCCCACTTACTGACACCAATGATGGGGCACTATTCCTCCCACTGACACCAATGACGGGGCACTATTCCTTCCACTCAGGCCAACAATGGTGCACTATGACACAAAATATAGTGCATTGTTTACTTCCACCAGACACTCGGGTGGTCACAGTTCAACCCCTTGTCCCAAGGACAGTAAACTGGCCTTTTGCTTACAAAGTTTTGAGACCCCTGCTTAACATTATTGAGTATTCAACCCCCGAAGTGTAGGGGCCCCACTGCAAGGATATCCTCTTGTAATCCCTGGGTTGGGCTACAAAAGTACAAAATATCCAGAAAATATTTCTGAGCGAATCCAGAATTATCATGTGCACCATATCGTAAAGCTGGCCGCCTTCGTTTCAATCTGATTGTACAATTTCCTTTAGATCAACACAAAAGTAATGTCGTCTGAGGACCCGCCTCGCAATCCCTGCAATTCATCAGGGTGACCCTTGTACAAAAGGCCTTCTACAATCAGAATGTAACGTGTATCCAGGCTGGATGAATGCTAATGTGCTTGTTTGGGTAGAAGCAGGGGTGGACTGACAACTCATGGGGCCCCCGGGCAATAGGGGATCATGGGGCCCCTGTGTCCTTGCCCAAACTCAAAAAAGCCTATCAAAAAGGCACCAGGGGTATGTCATGGAGCCCCCTACTGACCCCGGGCCCTCGGGCAGTGCCCGAGTTTCCCAAATGGTCAGTCGGCCCCTGGGTAGAAGGACCTTTGAAAGCAAAGATACTACCCCAGGTTCCTATAGTGCTGCTCACAGACTTGAACATACTGGCATTTATTCTATGACCTTAGATGTTCTCCAGCGTGGTTGGAGCCACTATGTAGGCAGAACGGTCCCCGGCTGTAATGCTTACCTTCGATCTTAAGGCTGTCCCCCACAGGACTTCCTTTTTCAAGGTTTTCTCTTCCAGGTTGAATGATGCCCACCATCACTTCATATGGAAGATTAGGCACACACACACATGATTGTAGGGTGTCAATGGCACCAACCTCTGTGGGGGCACCACCGAGGCACCCAACGTTCACAGTGTCCCAGTGCAGAGGGTAGAGCTGATGTCATCATGTCAGTCCTATTCTTTGTATCAGCAAAGACCACCCAGCCTGGAGAAGGGGAAGAAGACCTCCTGCTCATGTGATCCATCTAGTATTAAAACACAAAAAGCAAACTGTACTGCCAGAGGAGGCCATGAGGGAAAGGAGTCAATTAACCCCTTCAGGCCGGCCGCACACAAATGCCACCTCCCGGCGTCTGGGCCGAGACGCCGAGCGGCTGCACATTTGCTTTCATGTAACAAAAAACATATGTGCTGAGAGCGCGCGCGCCCTGCGCACATGTGAGCTACTCACGGAAAAGGTCCCGGTCCGCTCTTTTGATCGGGACCTTTCCCGATCATGTGACCGGCCATGAGGTGACGTCATGGTGGCCACATGACACTAAGCCACGCCCCGTCCCGCCCACCTCCCGGCGCAGGAACTCCTCTTCACGCCGGGACGATCTGGCGTGAAGGAGTTAAAAGCATGGGGGGCTGGAGATGAGAGCATTGACAGAAAAATATACTATCTAATCTGGACGTCCTACAAATTTGTGGAAGTATCATGGAAAAGGTTTGACACTTCTGTTCCAAGGGGCGGACTGACCATTTGGAAACTCGGCACTGCCTGAGGGTCCGGGGTCAGTAGGGGGCCCCATGAGATGCCCCTGGCACCTTTTCATAGGCTTTTTTGAGTTTGGGCAAGGACACAGGGGCCCCATGATCCCCTATTGCCCGGGGGCCCCATGAGTTGTCAGTCCGCCCCTGTTCTGTCCTAAAATTCTGGACAGTACTGTGTGCTACACCCTCATCCCGAACCATGCCAAATACTGTGCACTACACCCTCATCCCGAACCATGCCAAATACTGTGTACTACACCCTCATCCTGAACCATGCCAAATACTGTGCACTACACCCTCATCCCGAACCATGCCAAATACTGTGTGCTACACCCTCACCCTGAACCATGCCAAATACTGTGTACTACACCTTCACCCTGAACCATGCCAAATACTGTGTGCTACACCCTCACCCTGAACCATGCCAAATACTGTGCACTACACCCTCATCCTGAACCATGCCAAATACTGTGTACTACACCCTCATCCTGAACCATGCCAAATACTGTGCGCTACACCCTCATCCTGAACCATGCCAAATACTGTGTACTACACCCTCATCCTGAACCATGCCAAATACTGTGCACTACACCCTCATCCCGAACCATGCCAAATACTGTGTACTACACCCTCATCCCGAACCATGCCAAATACTGTGCGCTACACCCTCATCCCGAACCATGCCAAATACTGTGCGCTACACCCTCATCCCGAACCATATCAAATACTGTGCACTACACCCTCATCCCGAACCATGCCAAATACTGTGCGCTACACCCTCATCCCGAACCATATCAAATACTGTGCACTACACCCTCATCCCGAACCATGCCAAATACTGTGCACTACACCCTCATCCCAAACCATGCCAAATACTGTGCACTACACCCTCATCCCGAACCATGCCAAATACTGTGCACTACACCCTCATCCCGAACCATGCCAAATACTGTGCACTACACCCTCATCCCGAACCATGCCAAATACTGTGCACTACACCCTCATCCCGAACCATGCCAAATACTGTGCACTACACCCTCATCCCGAACCATGCCAAATACTGTGCACTACACCCTCATCCCGAACCATGCCAAATACTGTGTACTACACCCTCATCCTGAACCATGCCAAATACTATGCGCTACACCCTCATCCCGAACCATATCAAATACTGTGCATTACACCCTCATCCCGAACCATGCCAAATACTGTGCACTACACCCTCATCCCGAACCATGCCAAATACTGTGTACTACACCCTCATCCCGAACCATGCCAAATACTGTGCACTACACCCTCATCCCGAACCATGCCAAATACTGTGCACTACACCCTCATCCGGAACCATGCCAAATACTGTGTACTACACCCTCATCTTGAACCATGCCAAATACTGTGTACTAATCCCATGTCCTAAACCATGCCAATTCCTAAAATTCTGGACAGTACTGTATACTAAACCCCCCATCCTACACATCCTTAATTCCTACACCATGTTGTGTACTAAACCCCTGACCCCTTTGCCCTGGGCGCTGAATGACCTTGTCCCCGGCACTCCCACCCTAAACCGTGCTTGGTTCCTAAAATTTTGGACAATATTGTATACTACACTTCCACCCTAAACCATACCAATTTATAAAATTTTGAATGATGTTGGGTTACAGACTCCCAACCAGGGGCAAACTGACAACTTACGGGGCCCCCAGGCAATAGGGGATCATAGGGCCCCTGTGTTCTCACCCACACCCAAAAAAGCCTATGAAAAAAGCCAATGAAAGGTACCAAGGGCATCTCATGGGGCCCCCTACTGATCCCGGGCCCTTGGGCAGTGTCCGAGTGCTCAAAATGGTCAGTCCGCCCCTGCTCCCAACCTAAACCACCCCAATAGCTACAATTCCGGACAATGTTTGTATACTAAACTCCTACCCTAAACCACGCCACTTCCTAAAATTCTGGACGATGTTGTATACTACACTCCCACCCTACACCATGCCAATTCCTAAAATTCTGGACGATGTTGTATACTACACTCCCACCCTAAACCACACCAATTCCTAAAATTCTGGACGATGTTGTATACTACACTCCCACCCTAAACCACACCAATTCCTAAAATTCTGGACGATGTTGTATACTACACTCCCACGCTACACCACGCCAATTTCTAAAATTCTGTACCATATTGTATACTACACTCCCACCCTAAACCACGCCAATTCCTAAAATTCTGGACGATGTTGTATACTACACTCCCACCCTAAACCACACCAATTCCTAAAATTCTGGACGATGTTGTATACTACACTCCCACCCTAAACCACGCCACTTCCTAAAATTCTGGACGATGTTGTATACTACACTCCCACCCTAAACCACACCCAATTCCTAAAATTCTGGACGATGTTGTATACTACACTCCCCACCCTAAACCCCAACAATTCCTAAAATTCTGGACGATGTTGTATACTACACTCCCACCCTAAACCCCAACAATTCCTAAAATTCTGGACGATGTTGTATACTACACTCCCACCCTAAACCACGCCAATTCCTAAAATTCTGGACCATATTGTATACTACACTCCCACCCTAAACCACGCCAATTCCTAAAATTCTGGCCAGTACTATGGAATCTGGGAGTGTTTAAAGAAAGATCATTCATGGCCATGCAAAGCCTACAGAGGACCTCTACATCACACTTCAGCTTATTCTGCTCCATTCATGACCCCATAAGCAATATTTCAAGGACAATGCTCTGATCTCGGAGATGCAGCGTTGGAGTGTCAGAGAGGAAAATGTATGCTCTTGTTTGAGATTTACAGAATTTCCCTCCATGGAACATTATTCTTACTTTTCTGGATATGCATGTACTATAGACCCAACGGGCCTATTTTTCAAACTACAGCCCCTCTCCTATTACCAATCGTTAGCTAGCTACATGGTGTATGCGGTTAAAAAAAAAAAAAAAGAAAAGAGAAATAGTTTCTGGTTCTCTGACTCGATATAATGCATCATTTAAATTATTTCGGATACATCTGCCCAGTCACGATTCAGCAATTTTCTGTAGAATTTTTTTTTACCAGTGTCAAGTTTAGGTCTCAATGCATTAGCCTGGGGGAATGATAACCATGGCTTTCAACAACTGTGACAATGTTAGACGTCTACGTGTACGGTTCCAGTTATTTTTGTTTCGTTTTTGGTTTCTCGATGTCTCATCTTGCAAAGATTTCCTTCTTCACCCTGCCCGTTGTATCACTCACAATGACTACCCTAGTGTTCTTCTTTATGGTAAGCGGAGTATGCTATGTTTAAATGCTATTGCTAAGATATAAAGTCCATTTGGTAAGGCTGGGTGAGGGCTTCTTCTTCTTACAAGTTCTCTAGATGTTCCTCTTAGCGGAAAGATCCTAAGTGTGACCCCGCGCTGTGGGAAATGGTGTCGGAGCAGGGGTAGGTGAACATGAAGTTGACGGCGTACTTCATGTCTTTGCTTTCTTGTCCCACTTGTAGATGGCGGTAAGTAGAAGCTTATTGTCCACCTTCCGGCCCATGATAAGGAAGCTTCCGCTCAGATTGTCCAGCTGAGGACACGGGCACCCCGCCGCGTTCTTAATGTACAAGACCAGCTTGCGGAACTCTTTCCTCTTTAGCTTTCCCGCTTTCAATACTTTCTTTTTCTTCTGAGCCGCGATGAGCTTTCGGTCTCCGTTCTCAATCTTCACCTCTTTAATTCGCATCCGTAGAACTAGGAAAGAATTCAAGAAAATAAATGGTCAAGTCTGGAGGAAAAGTTCGGTGCCTACGTCACTGTGTGTTGGAGTTGATGTCTATTTTTCTTATCAAGAAAGTAATTCATTCTGCTTCAACCTAAAAAAAACAAAAAAAAGAAGCAAAGTGCTTTGTAAGCGATGTTTAACGTGCCAAAACATTACATAATGGAGAGAACAGAACTCCCCTCCCCCCCCCCCCCAGAACTGTACTCTAAACAATCATTCCTGAACATTGCCCTCTTGGCAAATGACGTTCCTCAGAAGAATTGAGAGGTAGTGTATTATTTTTCGGTTAAAATAGTTTAGGCACATAACAATTTCTGATATAAGGAATGATATATTGAGTCTAGAGAAGCTTTTCTTAACCTTTTTATCCCAAAAGAGCCCCTAAAAAATGGTTTAGGTCTTAGGAAGCCCCTGTTAGAATAAATGATTTGCAGGTCGATAGAAGAAATGCACCTTACATTGGTAGACTGAAGGAACACCACAACCCTTATGTGTTGGCTAGAATGCCACCCTTACAGACAGCTGAAGAGATAATTAGAGTCATGCTGATGGCCAGGGGCATTGCTGGTGCTGGACACCCAGGACATGTGCCCCTCATCTCCTGGGGGGTGCCCTTGCTCCCCCCACGCCACGATACCTTCTCCACAACTACTGCAACTGGCATTGCTCTCTGTTAACTGCAAATGCCTGTAAGCTTCCCCTAGGGCTCCTTGTTGACTCTGAGGTGTCACATGACACATGAGGAGGACAGCCATGCTGTATCTGAGGTTCATAAATTTGGGGGGGTGATTGTACTGGAGGACAGGCTGACTTTGGGGAGATTGTATAGGGGAACAAACTTACTTGTGTGTGGGGCCATGTTTTGGAGGCATAGGCATGCGCACATGGTGTGCTACACCCTATTCACCCCATGTGCATTAGCGTTGTTGCTCTGTGTACTGGCTCTAACATTGGAGAAGTGCTTACGCATTTCTCTTTCACTGTGCCGGAGGGAGCTCAATGTGCCGGGGCCATATATATGTAGACACACATGTGTGTTTGAGCTTTAGGTTGCAGACCCTAATACAACAGGCTGTGCACACATATGACTTAAGGACAGACTAACTTGGGGGTGGGGGATTTTGTACTGGGGGATAGACTGACCTGGGGAAGGGGAATTATACCAGGGGACAGAGTGACCTGGGGTGGGGGAATTATACCAGGGGACAGACTGACCTGTGGACGATGGCTATACTGGGAGACAGACTGACCTGGGGTGGGGGAATTATTCCAGGGGACAGACTGACCTGCGGATGATGGCTGTACTGGGGGACAGACTGACCTGGGGGTGGTGGATTTTGTACAGGGGGGACAGACTAGCCTGGGGAAGGGGAATTATACTGAGGGACAGACTGACCTGGGGGGGGGGATTTTGTACAGGAGGACAGACTGACCTGTTGGTGGGGGGGGATTTTGTACAGGGGGACAGACTGACCTGGGGAGGGTGACTGTACTGGGGACAGACTGACCTGGGGAGGATGACTTTAATGGGGGACAGACTGACCTGGGGAGGATGACTGTAGGGGGGGACAGACTGACCTGGGGAGGATGACTGTACTGGGGGACAGACTGACCTTGGGGGGAGCATGATTGCATTGGGGCATATACTGACCTGGGGGATGGAATTTAGTAGGAGACAGACTTAACAGTTGTAGCCCATTGTTTTATTTAAGCATGCCCCTTTAAGCCCCTCCCACTCTTAATATAATTTGGCCAAACCAAATTGTTTTAGGTGCCCAAAGGGGCCCCAGGACTTTTACAATCCTAGCAATGCCCCTGCTGCTGGCTTTGACCCTGGAACTATGCAGGCACCATCAAATGGGAGGTCAATCAATCACAACCCAAGGTACCCCTTGTAACCATTGGAGGAACCATAGGACTCCACAGAACCTTGGTTGAGAATGGTCTACTCCGAAGGAAAGTTTTGCAACATTTTTTAAGTCATGAAACTTTTTAAAACTCTCGAGTCTCCCGTGTGAATTATACCTTGGGATTTTTCAGGACAAACTGGATCCTCATTTGGTGGTAAATATTATTGGAAATCTTCTGATTATTTTTTAATTATTATTAAAAATGGCCCTAAAAAAGTAACACAAATATAATTTTTTTAATTATATTTTTTAAAATGTAGCTGTATATTTCTTGCTATTACTATGACCGACCATCAAAATAAAAAAAATCTTCTAACGTCCACAAGGCTACCAAATTGACAATAAACTAAATCACGCTACAGTCTTACTATATTAATATTTTTTGTTATTATTATTATTATTATTAATTTTTTTTTTTTTCACATACAGTGCAGGAAATGTGTATTTGCTCCCCGGCTGATGCTGAATGTTCGCCCCTCACACAGAAATGATCGGTCTAACAATGGAATGTTAGCCCCTCACACAGAAATGATCGGTCTAACAATGGAATGTTCGGTGTAACACTGAGAGACAGAATACAACAACAAATTCAGCAGAAATGCGTCTAACAAATGATGACTGATCTGCATGTTCATGAGGGAAAGAAGGATTTGATCCCCTATCATTCAGCAGGATTTCTGGCTCCCAGGTGTCTCTCATACAGGTAACAAGCTGATATTAGAAGCAGTCTCTTAAAGGGAGTGCTGCTAATCTCATTGTGTTACCTGTATAAAAGACACCTGTCCACAGGAGCAATCAAACCATCAGATTCCAAACTCTCCACCATGGCAAAGACCAAAGAGCTGTCCAAGGATGTCAGGGACAAGATGGTAGACCTACACAAGGCTGGACTGGGCTACCAAACTATGGCCAAGCAGCTTGGTGAGAAGGTGACAACAGTTGGTGCAATCATTCACAAATGGAAGAAACACAAAACAAGTGTCAGTCTCCCTAGGTCTGGTGAACCATGTTCCCCATCAGGTCCTCCTCATGATGATTTGACATCACAGAGCAATGGGTGGATCCATAGGCACTATTTAGTCCAAATAAGGCTTTTAATTCAAACGTAAGGTGGACCTGATGAGGAACTCGCCCCTTGGTTCTCCCTCTGCCCACCCAGCCTTCTCCAAAATATGGGTTTTGCCATGTTTGGGTAATGGCATGACCAGTGACCCCCAATGTAAGGGACATTCTTCCCACTGACCCCCCAATGTAAGGGACATTCTTCCCACTGACCCCCAATGTAAGGGACATTCTTCCCACTGACCCCCAATGTAAGGGACATTCTTCCCATTGACCCCCAATGTAAGGGACATTCTTCCCACTGACCACCAATGTAAGGGACATTCTTCCCACTGATCGCCAATGTAAGGGACATTCTTCCCATTGACCCCCAATGTAAGGGACATTCTTCCCACTGACCACCAATGTAAGGGACATTCTTCCCACTGATCGCCCAATGTAAGGGACATTTTTCCCACTGACCCCCAATATAAGGGACATTCTTCCCACCAACCCCCAATGTAAGGGACATTCTTCCCACCGACCCCCAATGTAAGGGACATTCTTCCCACCGACCCCAATGTAAGGGACATTCTTCCCACTGACCACCAATGTAAGGGACATTCTTCCCACTGACCCCCAATGTAAGGGTCATTCTTCCCGCTGACCACCAATGTAAGGGACATTCTTCCCACTGACCCCCAATGTAAGGGACATTCTTCCCACTGACCTCCAATGTAAGGGACATTCTTCCCACTGACCCCCAATGTAAGGGACATTCTTCCCACTGACCCCAATGTAAGGGACATTCTTCCCACTGACCTCCAATGTAAGGGACATTCTTCCCACTGATCACCAATGTAAGGAACATTCTTCCCACTGATCCCCAATGTAAGGGACATTCTTCCCACTGACCCCAATGTAAGGGACATTCTTCCCACTGACCCCCAATGTAAGGGACATTCTTCCCACTGATCACCAATGTAAGGGACATTCTTCCCACTGACCCCCAATGTAAGGGACATTCTTCCCACTGACCCCAATGTAAGGGACATTCTTCCCACTGACCTCCAATGTAAGGGACATTCTTCCCACTGACCACCAATGTAAGGGACATTCTTCCCACTGACCTCCAATGTAAGGGACATTCTTCCCACTGATCACCAATGTAAGGAACATTCTTCCCACTGATCCCCAATGTAAGGGACATTCTTCCCCCTGACCCCAATGTAAGGGACATTCTTCCCACTGACCACCAATGTAAGGGACATTCTTCCCACTGATCACCAATGTAAGGGACATTCTTCCCACTGATCACCAATGTAAGGGACATTCTTCCCACTGACCCCCAATGTAAGGGACATTCTTCCCACTAATCACCAATGTAAGGGTCATTCTTCCCGCTGACCACCAATGTAAGGGACATTCTTCCCACTGACCCCCAATGTAAGGGACATTCTTCCCACTGACCCCCAATGTAAGGGACATTCTTCCCACTGACCCCCAATGTATGGGACATTCTTCCCACTGACCCCCAATGTACCGACGGATGCATTTTCACAACCCTTGTAGGGACCAAGTACCATCGTAGTAGAGTTTTATAATTAGCTTCTATGAGGGTTGTATTACTAGACACTATAGATCAGTGTTTCTCAACCTTTTTTCAGTCAAGGCACTCTTTAAAATTACGGACAGTCCTGGGGCAACCCTAGACTGTCCATAATTTTAAAAGGGCACCCCATTCTAAAATGTGAATAACTATTCTAATAGTTTTATATAACGCAGCGACATCCACACACGTAGGACACCCAACATTAGAGGTGATTTATTCCTCCAAAGTAAATACACCTTTGCACACTGGTACTGACTAGTATTCCCATGTTTCTCTTCTCCCTGAGTTTTTCTCCATCACTGAGCTAATGTGACCCCGGCACTGATGGAGAGGAGCGGGGGGAGGGTCAAACTAGGATGCTTGCAGGCAACCGACATACTCCTCATCAACTGATGATG